GGTCCACAAGCGCCGCGAGCTGCGTGGCCTGACCTCTGCTGGCAAGAAGTACCGCGGCCTGCACGGCAAGGGCAGCCGCTACAACAAGAACGCACCCTCCAAGCGCGCCACCTGGCTCAAGCACAACAGCCCCAGCCTGCGGCGCTACCGCTAGAGGTGGGCGGGGGCGGGCGTCGGACGCGCGAGGCGGCCCCGGGCGGCGCCGCAGGGCCAGGTTGTTGCAGTCTGCTGTGCAGCGCCCTTCCCCCCTTTTGGCCGGGCGCGCCAGAGTCAGGCCAGCAGATCAGTGATTGATGATGAATGTCACGCAGCCGGCTGAGCCGTCTGGTGTATGTTGATCCCCCTGCTGTCCGCCTTGTCCACCCCCAGGGCTGCGGGAGCTGTTGGCGGCAGAGCAGCGGGCGCCAGCGGCAGCGGCGGCGGCGGCCGCGGCAGCGGCGGCATGAGCTCGGCTCGGTGTTCGTGCGGGCGCGCGTCGCCCCATGGCGGCGGCTGCTTGTAACTTTCTGTCGTGCGACTGCTCCTGCTCGTGGGGTCGCAGATTTAGGCCTGAATCGAGCCAGCACCAGCAGTCCGGGTCGGCAAGCTGTCAAGCAGTCCGCCGCGTGTCCAGCCAAAAAGGGATGCTATGGAGCCCAAGCAAGGGCAGCAGCGCGCGCACCAACAGGCCGGCTGGTACCCATCCTGCTGTGCATGAAACGCAAATCAGCCGCAAAGAGCTGACGCGGGGCTTTTGTTACAGAGCGGCCGGCCCCCGCCCCAGCCGCGGCTGCCGCGGGCCTTCTACTCCCAGCCGCCGCCCGCGTCCAGGCCCGCCCCTGTGCCGCCGTCCTCCTCCCGCACCTCCTCGTCCTCCCCGTCATCGCCCTCGTTGGGCGGCATCCACGGCGGCAGCGGCTGCGCGGAGTGGCGGTCCCACATGGGGGGGTCCCAGTAGCGCAGGTGGCGGCGGATGACATACTCAGCACGCCACGACTCCCCGGGCTGAAGGCTGCGAGGGGTGGGGGCGGACGCAGGGGCCGGGCGCGGGCGCCGCGGGCGTGTTGAATAGAGCGAGGGGCGGGGACGTGGGGCGCGCGCGGCGGGAGGGCCGCGGGCGGTGGAAGGCTACAAGGGGTGGGGGCGACGAGAGAAAGCGGTCTGGTGGGAGGCGCACAGACACCCCAGGCGCCGGCCGGGGGTCCCTTTGACGATCCCCTCCCCCGCCCCATACACACACACCGCGCTTTCCGCGACTCCGCGAGCCGCATCCATCCCAAACCCCCTGGCCGCCGCGCCACGCGCGAACGCGCACGCGCGAGCCGCGGCTCACGTCTTTGGCAGCGCGATGCGTCCGGCCCCCAGGCATGCGTAGTAGTTCCAGAAGCCCAGCTCCCCGGCCGCCAGCGGCCCAGAGTGGTAGGCCACTGCGTCCCGGAAGCCCTCCCGCTGCAGCAGCTCGTAGTGGGTGCGGTCCCCTGGCCAGGGTGCGCGCGGGGGACGGGGGGGGGCACATGTGTAAGAGCGAGCGTGTGCAAGAGAGAGGGAGAGAGTCCGTGCGTGTGTGTGTGTGTGTGTGTGTGTGTGAGTGTGTGTGTGCGCGCCTGTGCGTGTGCGTGGAGCGGCACCCCACCCACCAGACAAGGGGCGGGGCCGCGAGGGCGCGCGGCTGGCGACAGGGGGCCACGGCAGCTCGCTGCGCGTGAACGCTGCGGCCGAGCGGCGTGATGGCCGGCGGGGAGGCGGGCGTACCTCGCGGGCATGCGGCGAGGCGGGGCCGCTTCCCCGCTGTGCGCACCTGGGCAGAAGCGGACCTCTGCGTCTGCAGAGTTGATGACGACAGTCTCGATGCGGTTCAAGCCTGGGGGATTGAGTGATGTGTGTGTGTGGATGCGTGTGTGATGTGTGTGTGTGTGTGTGATGTGTGCGTGTGTGTGCTCGCGTGCTGTAGGTGGGGGCCCGGGCGCTGCTGGGACAACATGGACCAAGGTCGGTGAACGACCATCCCACAGCGTCACTCGTGTTGACGGCATAGCCTGCGCGCGCTGCTGCTGGGGCAGCGCGCGACCAGGGGGCCGCGCGCCCGCGAGCCGGAGCGAACCGAGAGCGCAAGCCGGCGCCGCCCACCGGAGGCGCACGACACCCGCCCTGTCCTCCCTCAGGCATCGCAAGGCAAAGCACTCAGCGCCCACGCCGCACGGCTCAACGCAGCGCTGGTCATGCCCCCGACCCGGTGACGCCTTTGCGCTGGGCAAGTCCTGCCTGCTCTGACCGCCCCCCGCTCCCGCCCACCAAATCGTATGAAGTCGGTCTCTACGTGGCGCAGCAGCGGCTGCCGCGGGTCCTGGCTGTAGTCAAATGTGTTCTTGCCCCCCAGCCCCAGCGCGCGCACAAACGGCGCGTGGTTGGTGCTGCTCTGGTCCTGGGTGGTGAAGTGAGGGGTGGTGGCTAGCTGGAAGCGCAGCGGCGCGTCCGCCTCGGCGCCTGTGGGAAGGGTGGGGGTCGAGGGGGTGAAGAGGGGAGGGACCGGCGTGGAGCGCGTGACCGTGGAGGGTGTCGGTGAACATGGGGGGGAGCAACTGAAGAGGGAGCACCGTGGACGCCGGGCTATTGAGCTGCCTGCTGTGCCGCCTCAAACTCAGGGCAGCCCCCACGCGCCGCCTCGCGCCACCCGGGGCCCCACCCACTGTCGGCCGCCCACCCTGACCCCGCGTCCGCCCCTGCATCCAGCGCGCCCTCAAAGCCAGCCAGCCGCACATCGTGTGACTCACCGGTGTGGGTGACTTCGAATTCGTACTTGACCTGCATGGGGGGTGACTCGTCTGCGTCCAGGTCAGGCATGTCACCCCTAGTTTGGGAGGGTGGGGTTTTGAGGTAGTTGAAGGGGTTTGGGGAGGTTTTCTTGGGGTGCGGAGAGGGGTTGACTCGGAAGGGGGGGCCAGGCATTTGGGGTGGCGAGCAGGGAGGTTCGAGGGGACTGAAATCAAAGGGTGAAGGGAGGGGAGGAAGGGGAGGTGCCTTCGGGGCTGGGAGGCGGAGGGCGCCGGAGGGCGAGGCCCGCCCATGTGCTTTTCTGGCCAGGAAAGGGGGAAATATAGAGGCAACGTGACGTGACAGGCATTTTTGATGCGGGTTCGTGACGTCCTGCTTTGCGTTGAGACACTCGAAGGGGCCTGATCAACCCCTAAACCCGCCCATCCTGCCCATCCACTCGCAGCCCAGCCGCCCCACCCCCGGGCCCCCCAGGCACCTGAACGGCTGCGGCTGCTGCGTCGGGTCCCCCTCCACGCCGCCGCCGTCCTCGTAATCCTCGCGGCCGTCCGCGCCCGGCGCCCCGTAATACTCATCCCACTCGAAGAAGCCGCGCGGCAGGTCCCCCTTTGGGTCCGGGAAGTCGTCGGTCTGCATCAGGGAGATCTGGATAGAGGATCAGGGATCCAGGGGGCAGGGCACAAGGCGCAGGTTCAGGTTCAGGGTTCAGGGTGCGGGATACAGGGTGCGGGGAGAGCATCACGGGGTGCGGGGTGCATTCAGGAGGGGGAGGGGGTAGTGTTGGGGGAGCCGTGTACAGGGGTGAGGCCTGCTGCAGGCGCTTGGGGATGGGCGATGAGGCAGGGGGTGAGGGGTGAGGGGTGAGGCGTGGGGCGGGCAGGAACGGGGCGGGCAGGAGTGAGCTTTGGCGCGGATGCTGACAGGAGGCAGCCGGCTTGAGGGTGCTTCCAAAGGTTGCTGTCCGCATCATTGGGACAGACGTCTGAAACTCGCGACACCCCCCTTCCCATCCCATCCAAACCCATACTTTTCTTCGCGTCCCCCCCCCCCCGCTCCCTCACCTTGGCTGTGATCTCAAAGGGGTGCGGCCACACTGCGCGCGTCTCCTCGCTGTCCACCAGCCGCAGCTTGATGAAGGGCGCCACGTCACCCACCATGCCAAAGTCAAAGTCATAGTCGTCCGCGTTTATCCCGTACTTCGCCAGCAGCTGCTCGTCGGTTTCCTCCTCGCCCTCCCCC